GAGGCGGCGCACGGCGGCCATAGAGAACCCGCCGCGGGGAGAGGCGGACCTTCCGGCGCCCACCACCGGGCCAGGCGAGCTAGAGCGCCGCATTTCCGGTGAGGCCGCGGCGCGCCGCCCTGCGTAGGGAAAAGAGGGGCGACAGCGAGGCTTGGGCACCGGAGACGCCTCGGCGGACATCTTGGGTGCGGGCTGGCTCGCAAGCGGGACAAGGCGCTCGCCGCCATCTTTGTTGCGGGCGGATCGAGCGCCTCGCAGCGAGTTGTGAGCGCGGGCAGCCGGCTGAGCTCGTTTAATCGGTCACACACAGTGAAAAATAAATGTAGGTTAACTCTTCGATGTTGAAGAGTTATTAGTTTGCCAGCTGCGGCTAAATAAAAAGCATACTTGCTGTTGAGGGACATGCTTTCGAAAGAAAGTTCCCGCTGAGGCAGGATCAGCGCCCGTTGATGGGGGTGATGTCCGGAGGGGGCTGTGCCAGTTTAAACCAGGAGGCTCTCACAAACCAAAACCTGCAGTTATCGGGGGCAAGAGCAAGCAGCAGTGCTTTCTGCACCTTAAGAATCGTCACTTTGCTCTTTGTAGCCCAACCAACCACCTTGTTTCAATGTCCTCTTCTACAGCAGTTGGAAACTAGCTGAAAAAAGACCCAAACCAGCAACAAAAGCCCCCAAACAAAACAGCAAGTGGAAGCTCTCATCAGTTCCCCAATGGCAGCCCAGCCCCGTCTCCTGTGGTCTGCACCGGCGGGGCCTGCAGGGCCTGTGCTCCCTGCCCTGCTGCACTGACCCAGCCTCTCTGCGGCCATCACGCCGTCCTCATTTCCCCAGGCCCCTGCTTCGTCTTCCCACGTTCTCCGTCCCACCGGGAGCCACCTCAGAGAGCTAAAATGACCGAAAACAAATCACCCCCTCGCTCGCTTACATCCTGCTCCCGCCTTAGGCCGCTCTGAGGTCCCGCGGAGCGGCCCCGTCTCTCCCCATCGTGCTCCATGCCGCCTTCGCCGCCATCACGCGCTCCACGCCGCCTTCGCCGCCAGCCCCGCAGCCGGGTTACCTCAGGCAGCTGCCCCTCGCGCCTGCCCGCTCGGCCGGGCCCGGCAGGTTCCCAGCCGGCAGCCGCCTTTACTCTGCCAGATGTGTCCAAATAGTTGGAGCTTCTTCCTCACAGTCTGCTGAAAGACGACTTCTGCATCAGTCTTTCTTCCCTTGGTCTGACCCTTGAAGGATTCCACAACCTAACCCAAATCAGCTAACATAACCAGGCCCCTCAAAGATTATCAAGAAAGCCAGTACCTGAAATTTGGTGGCCCTTTCCCCCTTTGTGTAAAACATTATCGCTACTACCCGCTTGTTGATCTGCTTGTTTCTCTATATTGGTTTTGTTTGTTTTCCTGGGACATTTGTACCTCTTGTACCATAATCTTTTTAGGCCAATTAGCACCCCATATAAAGTGGCTTCTTAGGCAAACAAATTGTAGTCCTTTTGCAGAACATCAATAGCAACCTTATAGTTGTGAATTCCTTTATCACATGTATCTGAAGGACTCAGTTTTATGTTCATCAACAGTTTTATGTTCATCAAAACAGAGGAGGAAGGAGCTGAGCTATCCTGGATCTCCCTGCTGGTTGCTGGTTAGCTTCTTAAATTAGTCATATAACATGTACAGAGGCAGTGAACCTCTTTTTTTTCCCTCCACTCAAATGATTCTGAAGTTTGGATTAAATCAGAAGGCATGAAAACAGAAACAAAACACTGAAAACAAAACCATTTGCAATTCTTTGCTTTGATACTCCTACTTGGTTCACAGGCTTGAGCTCTCAGATTTTGCTTTTATCTTAACCTTTCCCGGAAACCCTGGAGATCCCCTTGGCCACGTGAATCTCACAGCAATACCAGCCTGTGCAAGAGAGCTGCGCGGGACTTCTGATACAAGCAAAATTATTCAAATACAGAAGTGTTTTGGATCTGCAGTTTTAACTGACACCTAATGCACTGTATTGCTCACAGTTCTCAATTGCATGGGCCCCGGTTCAGGAGAAAATGTAAGCACACATGTAAGTCAAAATTGATGCACATACTTAAGAGCTTTGCCTTATTGACCTTAGTCTATAACTCCTCCCTTAGTAATAATTCTACTACCAAAAAATGGTCCTTGAGGCCCGACTGCCTGCATTCCTCCAAAAGGATTTGTCTGTAAAATACAACTTTGTCCCCACTGAGGACTAGCGCCTTTTATACATCTGGAGAGAGGCACATCAGTGGAAGCTACAGTCACTCAAAAGCATTGTCATGGTGCTTCATTTTTATTACTGCTCACAGTGACTAGTAATTGTTATCTCTGAGTGGCAGAGGAAAATGCCAGCACACGGGAGATGCAACTAAGAGCCCAACAACCAAATCTTCTGTGTAAATGGTAGCATTAGCTGAGGGAGGAAGTTGTTTTGTTATGTTGTGGCATTGAGAAAACATATTTCCCAAATAGCCCTGCCAAGAGATCTCCCTGCAATCACACCAAGGAGTTACTGCACCTCGGTGATAGCCCAGTGCAGGCAAACGATTGGTTCAGCTCTCGCAGCTCTCCCATAGTATCCATGTAAAAAGACAGCAAGTGAAACATACAGCTAGCTTAACGAGTCCTGTGTGGATAGGAGACTCAATTAAAATTAAATTATACAACAAATTAGGTTTTAAATGCTGCGCTGCTTAGCCAGCCAGACAAATAATAATTAGAGATGTACTGATCTGCTGCTATGTGCAGTTGAACAGCAGACTGCTGTAACCACTTTCAGTGTACACTGACGACACCTCCCTCCCAGCTCAGGGTGGTTTTATACGACTTTCCCCGTGGGCCATCCCTCAACAGGCCTGTTTTGTACTTGTCCCCCTCCTGGCCTGGGCAGAACGGACAGGATCTTTTCCTCAAGTCTGCCTTTCCCATCTGTTCCACCAGTTGATGTCTCTTCAGCAATATACCTCCCCCTCTTCTTTCTTTCTAGACTCCAGGTCATTCTAGATGGAATTAGTTTTCAGGCTCTGAATTGTGCAGGTATACATATATTAGATTCAGGAGAAAAAGAAGCTACAAATATTATTTCTTTTTTTCCCTGCCAATAGTGGTACACATACCAGCAGTTTCAAAATACTGCACAATGCATAGATGGGTACAAGCCAGAAACGGCCACCTCCAATACTGGTTCTAGCAAAAGAAATTTAGGAGTTCCTGATAAAGAACATCACAGAAATCAGTTCAGTTGAAAAGGCCCTGAAGGCAGCTACTCAAATCCTCCTGTAAAATTTCAAATGTATTTGTATTGCGTTAATGTGTGGAGCTCTCTATCACCCTGTGGGAGATAACATTCGGAAAGACTGATGCTGTTGAATTTGTTCTGCAATTTTTTTCACCTCTGGTGAAAGTAATCTTAAATTATTGACATCAGATCTGGCAAATGCAACATGGAAAACATGTTCCATGATTAAACTAATAATTATGTGTTCTGCATGGAAAATAAAGTATTTAACGATCATCCTAAGCCAGCAAGAGTAATGTTATCATACAGCCATCTTCAGTTGTGGTTTCCTACCGCTGGCTGCTTGTCTGTGGGTAAGGAAAAACAACTTTGTAGTTGTTTTTCTTTTGTAGTGCAAAAGAAAACATACCAAGGACAGCCTTTTAGTCAAGTGTTTTTCCAAATACTGAGAGCCCAGTCCTGCAGATAATCCATGTTCCTGCCACGCTGTAAATGAGAATGCACTACTAACACAAAGGGTTTGCGAGTCAGGCAGCCAGCCCCAGATCTCTTCCTTATTATGTGGTAAAGGAAGACAGCCAGAGACATCATATGAGAAGGGAACAGGAAAAGGATCATTTGTGTCCTTTTTCTTGTGCTGTTTATCCAGACATCCATTACTGACCACTGCTAGTGTTTGGAAAACTTTTAATCTAGGGGAAAGTAGCACGGCAGTTCCTGTGCTGTGACTCGCTCTCCTCGTTAGTCCACTGCAAAGCCTCTGAATTACCCATGAGTTACAAGGTTAAGCAGCAATGAGTTTAAGTATGTCAAACGGAAGGATTCCCTGGGAAGTTCAGAGGACCTTCCGGGAAAACAAACGAAACCAAGCAGGCAGGAGCTAATGAAACAGTGCCGTGCCCAGGAAGAAGTTCCTTTCAGCAGGGACCACGACTGAGCTTTGTTGCTGGGGCAGAAGGAGCAATGAAGAGACTGCTCTGTGCCCAGCTGCCAGCAGAGATCAAAAATAATGCCATCATCGTTCGCACTTCACAGGTTAGCTCCACTGGATGCGGCACTGATAGACAGCATTTCCAGTTCTCTTTGGAACGCCTTTGTAAATGCAGCCAGGTATTTCCTAAAGAGAGCTAACAAATGATAATAATTAAAAAAAAACCTTGTTGACATTTCTTTTTAGAAATCACTAACATCCA